TCTGCCCTCGTGTCTTCTGCTACAGAGCACCACAAGGGCTCCTGAAGGTACAGCACGCAGCCGGCCTGCTCCGCACCCTCGTCGCGGCAGCCATGCCGCAGCCCCGGTGACCCCTTTTATCTGGGAAAGACCTTTGTCTCGTTTGCTTGGGGGTAGCGGCCTGGGCTCCGGGCAGCGTAGGTGTGCGGGCAACGCAGGGAGGCCGCGCGCACCAGCTCCAGCCCCGCGGCCCTAAGGGGTGCTCACAGAAGATCCCTGCTATGGAGAGGTTTGTTGTGGCTCTGCTTTGTGGTACTTTGGCAACCCTCAGGTATCTGCTTCTTTCCTACTGCAGAAAGTGTCTTTATCCAATGGATTAAATGAAAGGTTCAAAACCCCTTTTGCTCTTTCTGCTGCGACATGTTCATTTCTTCTCATGCAGGTTAAAACCCGGCTGGGTCTCCAGGAGGCCATGGTCAGTCCCTTACACCAGGGCATGCTCGTTCTGCCTTTAATTAATGGCTGGGACGTGGCTCCGCTTAACGCACTACCGCAGCCAGCTACGGGACACAGCGGTGAGTGGTGCCTCACCGCTCCGCTGCCGCTGCCAGCAGCCCGGCGAGAGCGACTATGAAGAACTGCTGCTAGTCTGGGCCATTATCAAAGCTTAAATCTCTGCTCGCTGTTCTGACTGTGGGCCCAGGGCAAAGGATGCCAGCTCCAATGTCTGTGACATTTCACGCTCCTAGACCGGTTTTGAAGGCCGCACGAAGCACCGCTCCACTGGCACGAGGGTTGGCAGAGGTGCTCCTGCCGAGTCCGACTTCAGCCCTGCAGAGCTTTGCACAGCTGCGGGACGCCGCGTAACGTGCAAAATCCCACGTGGCTTCGTCAGCCCCACGTGCGGCTGCAGGGGGAGAGCCTCACCTGCACGGAGGGGCGCGCAGGAGGGAGGAGAGAGTTAAAGCAGGAGATTGTCACGAGCGTGGAGGTCAGAGAGATGGCCCTGGAAATGCTGAGATGGCACCAGACGGTGATAAAACAAACGAATAGCTGATACAGGAATTGGCAAAGTCCTGCCCCAAATTTGGGAGGGTAGCAGGTAGGCTGAGAAGATGCAGGGTGCCAATCACCGCCTGGGACTGCCACTCTCATCCCTGCCTGGGGGAAGGAGCTTCCATTGATTTTGTCCTCATTATTTTCTGTAACCAGCAGGGAGGCTGCTGTTACGAGGAAGGAATTACGGAGAGCTACTAAGAAGGTAGGAAAGCTCAGCCAAGCTCCTGTGGGCTGGGGCTCGCCGGGCTCTCGGGAGACGTCACGGGGTGGCTCCAGCGCCGACATCTGGAGCTCGGCACCACGACGTTGGGAAGAGTTAGCGCCCGGCACGCTCCCAGTAAGGCGCTCGGC